ACTAAATGAAAGTATGGATATTTGAGGACAATATATTTATTTATTTATATACAAGAAGGTACATTGGGTTAGAGAGAATACATAGTATAGTATTTACAATCTTGTAAAGCCACTAGTACGCGCAGCGTTTCGGGCAGAATTTACAGTATAAGTCAGTAGAATATATCAGTATAATTAAAAAAAGACTAAAATGAACCACTATTGTGATGACTTAGTAGTTAAGGACAAAGGCTGGACCGGTTAGTTATGTAGTTCCTCCTCCAAAGGTTTCCCATCGTCAAGAAAGCGGTCAATTAAAAGCGTCCTCCCTTAACCTACCAGAGGACCTAAAACAGAAAACGGGACAGTACGTCATTTTCGCCAGCCGCTTCCATTTTCTAGCACGAAAATTTTTGGCCTTGTACAAGGCATTCCAGCGAAAAGCGACGTTCTTTGTAGGCGGACAAGTTGAGATATGAAGCGAGGCAACAGTTAAGGATTTGCGGCCAGTAAATCCTCCCCGGCCAGGATACGAACCCATGACAAAGCCGTCGAGGAACGCCAGGAGAGTGTCTTACCACTACACCACGGAGACTGGTTTCGGTCCGTCCTGGACTATTCTCAAGTCGATCGCAACCAATATTTTAGCACTTATGCACAACAAGATTGTCACTTCATGCCCTACAAGTCCCCCTCCAATCAACCCCGCTCCTCCTCCTCCCTAGAGACAACACTAGACAACAGGAGCCGCCGCCGCCGCCATCCTCTCAGATATCTGGAACCAATCCAGGTCGTGACTTGCCTCCTGGGAACTTGGAAAGTGAAACAACTGTTGTGTAATCAAATTCGGGTTATTCTGGGTACGTATATGATACACTGTGTGATGACAGCGGATAGGTTTCGGGCTATTCATGCCCGTGCCAGCACCTAGTTGGCCTAATCTTCATCAATCAATCAACTGGCAGCGGATGTTGCAAAAATCACCAGAAATAAGTTAAGAATTTAAGTGTACATCCAGAGTATATAAGCCGCCCGTTCCTCTTAAGGTTTCCTTACGGGCTATTCATGCCCGTGCCACCTCTTGGGTGGCTTAATCTTTATCTATCTCTATCTTAATGTTTCCCAACGTCAAGAAAATTTAAAGTGGTCTCTCCTAACCTACCAGAGGACCCAAAACAGAAAACGGGACAGTACGTCATTTTCCCAGGTCGCTTCCATTTTCTAGTACAATTTTTAGCCTTATGTAACGCAAAGGACCGAGTCTCGCAGTCTCACAACAAAGACTTTAGTACCATTTTCAGTACCGGTGCTGGCAAGGAACGACCCCAAGCAACACAAAATAGAGAAGGTAAGGTAACTACCAGGGAGAAAACGCCAAGCCATTACGACTATATAGCACTTGGAAGTGGTCAGGATAAGGATTTGGGATGGGACGGGGGAGAGGAATGGTGCCCGACCACTTGAACGGTCGGGGATTGAACACCGACCTGCAATTAAGCGAGACCGTCGCTCTACCGTCCAGCCCAAGTGGTTGGACAAAGAAAACGTCCAGGACGGACTGAACCGTTACCACTTTCACGGGTGGCTCCGCTTGCTTATTTGAAACCCAAGTAATTTAATAATTCATATCTATTCAAAAATATTTATTACAAAAATGTGCTTACACTCAACATTCAGGCAACTTTACACCCGGATTAAAGTAGACTTGGGAACTCCTTCAGCACCAACAAACCGTTTTAACTACGTTAAACACATTGTAGCGACGTAATAACCTGCTTTCTCAGGGAAAACACTGTCAACTTGTTTCGTATGAGGTAAAAACCCATAATAAATTCGCCGAAAAATACACGTCACTTGATTTATGAGAGGCTGTAGGCGCGCCACCCTCCTGGTCGGGTCCTTGAGGCGACCAGTCTTCCTCCTCCTGTGACCTCGTGGCTTCTTGGATTCACTTTCTCCACCTTCACATCTCCGGCTGACCCCCGTGACCTGTGCTGCCACATCCACACACGAAAAAATGTCATTCGTGATGTCTCAGACCCGCCCTCTGTATTCCCCCTCCCCCCGCCCTCTCCGTCGATGTCAATCAATTTAGGGGTGTCAATCACCCTAAATTGGATACCAAGTCATATTGGCATAGGTGGTAATGAAAAGGCAGACTCGCTAGCAAAATCTGTCACTGTTCTACCCGTTGTACAGGTTCAAATACCTCCAGGTTTTTCATAGATTAAGGAACAAATCAAGAAAATACTCCCAACTATCAAAAGTCGCCACAGAGCCAAAGTAGCGGAAGGAAGATCCACTGCGATATGGTACGAACAAGCCACTGGGTACTACTTTTTCAAACCTGACAAAAGATATCCAGAGACATTGCAGTAGCCATACACAGACTCAGACTTTGTTACAAGTGCTGCTGGGAGGTAATAAACCCATTAGTTAAAGAGAGTCATATCTGTGGAACAGAAGCAGAGGCGCCACTATTGCACTACTTACTGGAATGTGAAGCTACTGAAGCCCTGCGCATCTAACTCAACATTAATCCACCGACAGCAGCTGCATTAGATGCACATTCCACCGCGATTACAATGATTAGAAAATCAGTTGAACAATGGGACACACTAGTGAACATTCTCTATCAACATCCGCCACCAAGATGTTATTAAAACATGACTAAAACCAGTGCGCTAAAACAGAAGCGAAAAAAGAAACGGGAGAAAACCCCACCTCCATTTAAAACGTGTGGACCAAAATATCACAGTAACAAGGTTATCGCGAATAACTGAACTCAATTATGGGCTCACTATAGCCCGTGCTACATGGACATTTCGTTCCGAGTAGCTAAATCTAAAATCCACAACGGGGAACCTATCGACACTTCCGAGACTATGGGACCCTCATATTCGTCAATGTGCACAATATCACCAAACTCAACAGATACCCTTCCTGATCGTTGCATTTAAAATGAGCTAGTATGACTTCTACGCATCCTGAGGACGCCGAAGATGATATTTTAAAGACAAGATTCACTCAGAATTATAATTATACAAGAATTATTACCACACGGCTAGGCTATGGTGAAAGAGGTGGGATAAAATTAAAGTGACGGTTCACTGAGAAATTTGCTTAAAAATCTACATTTTGCTTTATGGAGCTTATCGTTATATTTAAGGAAATTACAGTTTCACATCACGTCACTATCGCCAGCTTTATCCACAGATCATTTGACGTTATCAGGCGAGGGACTACGGGTAGAGCGTCGTCAGTAATAATGGCGGAGGCAGCTTATGGAGTGATATGTACTTCGCCTCACTACAGCTGCCGCTATACCTGCCCCTCGGTCGTGCAGGTGCCAAGAACACACCTGTCCTCTAGTACCTTACCTGAACGGTGGTACAGGTGCCAGGAACACACCTGTCCTCTAGCACTTACCTGAATGGTGGTACAGGTGCCAGGAACCCGCACACCTGTCCTCTAGTACCTTACCTGAACGGTCTCCTTGCCAAACTTGAACTTACCTGCCAACAAGAAAATAAAAATTAGACAATTAAAAACTATATAAAATTATATCTAAGATTTCATATTAAACTGATTTAATATTCATATTAAACTCAAGAGCTAAGTAAGATACCCATGTGCACAGCGACTGTACAAATAATAAACATCTCTGTGCTGAGACTGTGATAGCCTAATCCAAACGCAACTTTCACAAAAATTAGTATAAATGGGGTTAAGTCAGAGAGGGAAAAATGTTATAAGTGGAGTGCCTCAAGGCTCTGTCCTGGGACCTCTGTTATTCATAATACGCAGCAAAAGACCTATTCGCATTAATCAATATACTTAAAACGCCGTTTAAAGCAGTAAGAAGCTGACACTAGCTCTCTAGTGCCGAGAACGTGCCCAAATGTTAATCAAAGAGGAGGTAGCAGTCCAGTTCTTGTTGGAAGGCTGTGACGTCACGGGATCGGGGTTGATCTGGCTTGCGTGTCCCCGCCTTGACCAGGCGGCTCCCGTTCTTGAGGAAATGCGACCAGGTATCGCATTGTGGGCGCCATCGACAAAATTACACATTTTTTTAATTTAAATAATCCACCCCGAGACGCGGAAGGAAATTAGCGACGTTTCCGTCGGTCCATTGTGAGCCGCTGTAACATGCTGTTAACTGTATCATAGACAATTGTCTCATAACGCCCAATGACGCAAACCATACTCTAGTGACAATGATTCTACGTCATCAATGCCGATTCGTTTCACATTGGTTGTAACACCCAGGACGCAGCCAATGGTGGTTGCGTCCTGGGCGTGCTCCTGGTTCTAGGGCATCACCTGAAGTAATGTGATGATAAGCTAACGTGGCATGCATTCATCAGCGATTGTTTGCTTCTCTCTCTAGTTACACCCCCCTTGCCTGGCCCCCGCTAGTGCCCCCCCCCCTCCCCGGCCTGGCACTCTAGTGCTCCCCGCCCCTCCCAGGCGTGGCCCTGAAGGACCTAGTTGACGGACTGACAAGTATATAAAAGTGAAATCTCTAACATGCATTAATACTGCCACGCAGGAAGCCTATAAATATTCTTATTTAAAATCCTTAAACATTGTGCATTTCGGGAATCATGTTCCCTCGGAAATTCTAAGGCTATTTGTACCCATGACAAACGCTCCCTACTGCTATTTTAACTTTGATTCGGCTGAACAAATCCACAAGGGCCGTGACGAGGATTCGAACCTGCGTCCGGGAGCATCCCAGACACTGCCTTAATCACGTTAGTGTGATTTGTGTGTGTAGTGTTTTGATTCGGCTCTTCACTTCACGAAAAAAAGGTTTAACTAGTGTTGTTGTTGTTATAGATTCAGGTACTCGGAACAAGCTCCAAGTAGCACGAGCTATGGTGAGCCCGTAAGTTACCTGGCACAGGAGCGGGGTAAGTGTTAACTAGTGCTTGAGAATATCTTTATATAGTTGTATTCCTACACATCTCATTACACGATTACATTATACCTGTGCCCCGTCACCCCCAGACACCCACCGTCGACTCGCTGGGGTTGAGGTGGTGGTCAGCAAGAGTGTCACAGCCGCCGGAAGAGGGCTCCTGGTGGCCCAAATTCTCGTAGGTGGCCAGGGCGGCTAGCCTGGTGCCTAAGCCCGCCATCCTGGTGCCAGCCACTTGTTGCACTTATTCTCCTGCGTTTTCTGCCACCTCTTGGCGTTCTCACGCTGCTCCAGGCACCTGCCAGATGGTCAGTGCACCTGTGTCATTCACTAATCACCAGAACATGTGGGGTCCAACGCGTTATGCCTGCGAGTGAGAACTACACCTTTACTCTGCAATTAATTCATCATTTAATCTATGTATATTCAAGCTCGTCTGCCGTCAGTAGTGATACCTAGGCAGAGTACGTGCTTGACAAGCCTAAGGCTGAGGAAGGCTTGTGGGCGTGGGGGGGGGGGCCCACAAGCCTGAAACGTGCAGGTAATCAGACTTCAGCAACTAATTGTCTCTATGTGCTGGCGTCTCTTAATTTCTACTTTAACTCTGTCATTTTTGCATTATTGTTAATTAGTAAATTCCAAGTCACATTTAATTGGAAGTTTTCTAACCACGATAACTTATGATGTTTAGTTAGATCGATGACAATACAATTAGGGCACCTGAGGACACAACAGGCCAGCAAGAACAGCCTGGCAAGCCACACACGGGAGCAGGAATCGTGGCCAGGTAGGAGGAGCACAAGCGGCACGCTGCCTCACTCACCACTAACACTTCTCCACTGCACACTCCCCGCTCCTCCTCCTCTAATCCACCACACACTGATGGCAATAGTCGCCCCTTTTGCTATCTTCAACATTTATATATCACTTATCAAATAATACAAATAGAAATTATCTTAACATTGCTAACAGTGACATCAATATGGTGTCGTATTCGTCCAAAAAATCCGTAAGGAAGTTAGATGATAAACATATCACGAGACGACAGTTGGTAACTCCAGCGCCACCACCTGCAGCCTAACATCTTGTTTTTCCACTTTCATTGTAGAAGGGAAAATTACTTCCCGACTCATGACGAGGAGACACTCCGCCTGGTGACTTACCCGGGCATCTCCCTGTGTCAGTCTTCTCCAATTACACACCTTAACTCTCTCTCCTTCCTGCACACTACTCTCCTTGTCTGCTGTTTTTTCCTCTCCTGCTCTCCCCCCCATTCCCTCCCTCCCTCGTACACACCTAGATGTGCTTGCAGGATCATCTACGCCCCTATTCCCGTCTTTCCCTACACAGGTGGGAATAGGAACAAACTACAAATTACTGCTGGGTGAACAGAGGTGTACAGTTAAGGACTAGCGCCTAGTCAATCCTCCCGGCCAGGATATGTTCCCGGGGCGAATGTTACCGTTCACATTAATCCAATGAAATTTTGATACTAGCTTCAACGGTGTTAACGTCTAACATATTCCATTTATTCACAGAAATATAAAATTTATCTGAATCCAGATAATTACAAAATGTTAAACTTATAAAACGTATTCCCTTACATTTTTCGTTAGTTTATGATGTATCCCCAAGTTCAAGTTCAAGTATGTTTATTGAGACAAGAAAAAAATACATCTCAAAGGGATAGAGTAGCTTAGGCTATTTCTACCCCCCGATGTATCCCCATACCCATCCAGGGGAGGTCAACTGCCCCCCGCCCCCCATCCCTAAACCCATGACGTGTTCGGTCGAGGAAAAATTCCAAGATAATGGGCATGGGAAGTGAACCCCAATATTAGTTTAGGTAAGCAAGTTACAGCACTGATGGGCTAGTTGGAGTTAGACAAGCGCATCGCCAACCTATTCCAAGTTGTAGCTAGTCTACCTTAGTTTACATGAAGGTTACAAAGATGGAACCCATAATGTTTTATAGGCTAAGCAGTTTACCTTTGCGACGCACTTGCTAGTTTATAATTTCCTTCAATTTATGTTCATAAAGTTACAAAGGTAGTGACGTAGAGTACCGTTGGCATCGGTACTCGAGACGAGGACAAGAGCTGCAGGCAACACAAGCTCTCAGTGAGTACAGGCTACACAACAAGCAACCTTGGGACTGTTGTTGTTGGTATAGATTCAGCTACTCTGAACAAGTTCCAAGTAGCACGGGCTATGGTGAGCCCGTGAACCTTGGGACACCGGGCTAAGATTTTATGCAACACGAGTATGAGGTGCACAATAAACTAGCCGCCTCCGGCAGCAACAATCATCATGTCATCCCGGATTCCGAGAAGTCACAATGTGGTGCTGCTCGGCCCCTAATGATAAACAATTACCGGGGAAGAAAAGCTGACCTTGAAGCCTAGTCAAAATGTTGAGTATGGAAATCTAAGTCTCTCTCGACGAAACGTCGTCGTCCCTTCAGCTTCTAGTGTGTGGTCTGGTCAACATACTTCAGCCACGTTATTGTGACTCATCGCCTGCATAAGAGTCTCTTTCTCTCCCTTCACTAAACAGACTGACACAGACATTAGACACAGACACGATGGCTGGGCCGTGTCTGTGTCTGCACTACTAGGGTAAGGGACTGGGGAAAATAGGGTGGCCGTGAGGAGTAAGTGTGCTAGAGCAGACACCGGTGAGGTCTCCAGACGGCGCACCAACACCTGCTGCTAATAACTTAATATTGTTAAAACCATTTATGCGAAACATTTACTCATTCTCAGCACCTGTACAAACAGGTAGAAGGGCGCCGAGCCTCGGTACGTGGGTGGCGGGGTGGGCCTCCCTCAGCGTGTACAGGGACTAGGCTCCAACTAACGATATTTGTCCTCGGTCCCAACACAATTTATGAACTTACGCCATTGAGGGCGCCATTCTGTGGGCGAATATGACGAGCTGAGAGCCAGGGGAGGGAGAACGTGCAAGCAAGTGTGGTGCAAGCTGTTGCCCGAGGGACGGGAAGCGTGTCATACTCGTATATAACATCCGATTGTACCATCTTATCCGTTTCCCCGCGTTAATGTTCGCGCCTTTATTATGTTACTGCTGCGAGTAACCCATATTGATAAAGATTAAGCCACCCAAGAGGTGGCACGGGCATGAATACCCCGTAAGTGGTGGCCCTTTTGAGCCATTATCAATATCAAGAGATGATACTAGAGATCTGTGGAGACGCGACTGCACCCTGCGTGACGGGAAATGTCTCGCGTGGACCAAATGGTGGATTAACCCAGGCAAACAGATGTCGCTAGCCAGGGGAGCAGAGATCCAGCTCTACAAAGGCTACTACAATAATGCTACACGTAATGAGGCTTCAGACTAGCAGTCATACTTCAGCCCGTCTACTGTAATATAGCACAGTTCTTGTGGCGAGCCAGTGGCTGCTGGCGAGTCTAGTGTTCTTTACTGAAGTGTCAACAAACCCAAAACAAAACTCTTACGGGCGTATCCTATTAAGAATGCATCTCCTGTCTCTAAACCAGACGCCTAAATACGAGCAATATTACATTATAGACAATTCTTAACACCAGTAATTCAGCTTACCACCACGATTCATATATATATATTAAAATATGGACATACAAATGGAGATATTACTGGTGTTGACACGGCAGGCGAAGAGTTCGGCTCGAAGTATTTTTATTTATCTGCTCACAAATTGGTCTGCATTCCAATTTCAGATCGCCAATTTCAATGCCTCTATCATACCTACTGTAAAGAGTAGGTATAGGGTATCCTCGTTCTACCCATTTTCATGCCCATGTAACTGTCCACTTCGTCAATGCTTTTGAAGGTATTTTATGTCGTGATCATGTCACCTCTTACCCTTTTTTTCCAGTGTGGAGAGGTCTAGTTTCCTCAGCCTTTCTTCGTAGCTCGAGTCTACTTCAGGGACCAATCTAGTAGGAAATGTGTGGATATTAATTTTTTTTATACTTTTTAAAGGAGATACATATATTAATACTGGTGTAATAGAGTGCAACGATGTAGCACAATACCCAGATGTAGCCTAATGCACGCACACACCTGCCTGCTGACCACTGCCTCACCAACACACACTTCCCCTAGAGAGATGGAAGTTTACAAGAAACTGATGCGCATACATCTGTGGGTGAATGGGTGGATGAATTAGATGGTTAAATGGTTGAATGTTTGAACGTAGAGATGTTTACATTTATGAATATATGGAAGAATGGCTAGACGGAAGGTCAGGGACCCTCCCGCATCCCTGTCACCTGCTTCCGCTATAGTGTCTATCTCTGTCTGCCTCTCACCCCACACGCCCACAGCAGCCACGCCCACAGCAGCTACCGCGTCACTACAATCCCACCATTACTCTCACCAGTGCCGCAGAAGTAGCCTCGCCACCGTTACAAAAATTACTGAACACCGCCTGCTGTTCCCACCAAAATCTTACGAGTAAAATATATTTAACTTTAATATTTACAGTAAAGTTCATGGACAATTTTTGTTACAATTCTCGTCTATATATGGTACATTCTAGTAAGGGCTTGGGTGGACCTTAATCCTAATTTTAAGGTCGACGGTGTTCATATTCCTAAGGGTCCGGGTTCGATCCACGGTGGAGGCGGAAACAAATGGGCAGAGTTTATTTCACTCTGATGTCCCTGCTCACCTAGCAGTAAATAGGCACCTGGGAGTTAAACAGCTGCTTCCTGGGAATGTGTGTGAAAATTAGGCTTGAGGACTTGCCCGAAACGCTGTGTGCTAGTGACTGTACAAGAAAGTGAGAACGTTTGTATATAAATAAAATAAAGATGTATAGCAGGGGTGCTAAGCATGCGGGCCGCCACTCTCCTATACCCGTGGTCCGCCCGCAGCTTGGCCGCACCTGCGGCCAAGACCTGTCGTATTTTAACTGTCTTGGCCGCAGGTTAAAACCAATTATAAAATTACCGTTTCTAGCTGCCGTGTCCAATCAAAGGGAGGTGGTTGATGGTCCCGTAGTGGAGGGTGCTTGTCAATGTCAGTGGTACGATTGAATGATTTTATTTACCTCAATTTACCCGAGGGCAACTAATACTAGTGGCTTCAACGAGGACAGGAAGACTGCGGCTTGTCGAAGGTCCGCCCACTCCCAGTTGCCTTTATGATCTTTTCCAGATGGAATTTAAAATTTATGAGTTTGGCGGGTAGGTGGTTCCATGGATTTATAATTTATGTAAATTTTTAATATGTAAATTTTTAATTTATGTGTTTGTATGGATGTAAATAGAAGCTACCACGTGCGTGTCATTAGGCTTTCTGCAAGTTATCATAGAACTAAGACTGTTCTCACCTCATACAAGGTTGAGGTCAACAAGA